AGGCCAAGAACCCATTGCCCCCAGCCCTCCTCCTAATTCCTTTCTCTGGGACTTGCGAAGAAGCCTTAGACAAGGTGGGTCTCATCTGATCTGCCTCCACTGCTCCCCACCTCTGCCTCCCTCTCCGGTGGGCAAGTCTAATTGCTTTCTCTTGGTTCCCATGTCCTAGAATCTGGGACCCTCTCTTCTCAGGGCTGTTTCCATATCTGTCCGACCTTCAAGTCTGAGTCTGGACTAGGTGCCCTGGGTCTCTTTGAGTCCAGTTGGCCAGTCTCTATTTCCCATGACACTATCTTCTAGCCTTGACCCTTGGCCCTTCCTCTCCAGGTCCCCTTTTCTCTGACCCCCACCCCTCGAGTTCTCAGTTTTTTGGTTCTCTGTTCCTACCACCTGTCACTGTTCTTCTGCCTTCATGTCCCCCTCTGTCCCTTGCTGTTCACAACTGGGTCCCCCACTACTCCCCCTTCACCCCCTGTGCTCTGTCCCCGCCCGTCAGCCCCTGGTCCCAGCTCCCGGCCGGCCCGGCTCCTGCATGGACAAAGGGGTCCTTTGTGGGCTGACCGCGGCTGGCGGGGCGGTGGGGCGCTGGCTCCGCATTGCTGATGAAACGGAGCCCTTTGTTGTCCCTCCTCAGGCGCAGTATTTCTTTTTGGGGGCTGGATGCGTTCCTGGCAGGGCCGATGATGGATGCGCCCGCCGCCGCCCGCCTGCCCGCCAGCTTTCCCTCCCGCTCATTCCCGCTTCGCTTCAACGCAGCCCCAACTCCTCCCCTGCTGCCTGGGCACTGCCAGGCCCTGCCTGTCCTGGGAGGGGGTTGCTATGTGCCTTGAAGTAGGAGACCGCGGCCTGTGAGGACATCATCATTGTGCCCTCCCCTTCCATTAATAGGGCAAATAGGCCCTGTGGTCAGGTGTCCACTGGGACCAGGGCATCAGCTTTTCCCAGGGTCTAAAGAGAAAATGAGCCAGGCACAGATTTGGGACCCACTTGGGAGCCAGAGCTTGGGGACTAGATGCTAGTGTCTGTACATTCCATGGTTTGAGGACAGACTTTTCCCTAAGCACCAGCCTCCTTTGCACACTTCCCTCCGTTCAGTTTCTGTGACTGATAAACCAGTGTTCTGCCTGTAGCACCTGTTCAGTGGCATATCACGTCCTCTGGTCCCAAGCTCAGCATGTCCCAGGACCTGGGGAGCTGGGGGAAGGTGGTTGATCCCTGAGAAAAGACAGAAAAGTGAAGATCAGAGAGATTTGAAGAGAGGGCCAGAGATGACCAGAACATAAGGTTCAGTCCACACCAAGAGCAACTCGAATGGAGACAAAAACACAGAGACAGCCAGAGCGCCAGCCCTGAACGCAGTCCCTGCGTGTTGGAGGGAGCTGACTTCTAATTGACCTGCCCGCCCTGCACACACAGCCAGATCCTGGAGCTTGGGAGGAGGGAAGGAGGGAGCAGTGAGAGCAGCGTTAATGCAGCTATCGATTTCTGCCACCAGCCAGCAGGCTGCAGAGGCGGGGGACACACGTAGGGGCTTGGGCACAGGCTGCTCCCCTCCCCACCTCTCCAACCTACAGGCACCTGCCTTCTCCTGTCTTTTCCACTCACCCTGTTTCTGGGGTTGCAGGGGTTGTGGCCCAGAGAAGGGTAGTTGAGTTCTGATGGGCAGTGGCTGGATAAATTGATGCGGGGAAGAGTAGTCTCTGACCCTGATTTCACTGGTCTTGGTCCCAATACATAGCCAGAGTCACTGATGCTTGGAGGGATCGCCAGCTTATGTGAGATACGACAGATACAACTGTCTTAGGTACAGGGGACCTCCTTTCTTGTAGTACAATTTTGATCTGTGAGCCGCCAACAATCCAGCCTGGACACCCTGCAAGATCCTTTTTTGAGTCTGTCCTGGTGGAACCTGTCAGTTCACCCAGCTCTTCCTCACCATCCGGGTACCATTGTTAAGAAGGAGCACTAGGTGGGACGAGCCTGTGCACTTGTATGGCTGGCTGTCTGCTGATGCCAGTCATTCTCCTCACCTTGGATATGAAGCTCTTCCCTTTCCCACACTCTCTCTTTGTGCCTACTCCATAGCAGTCCTGAGGCAGGGGTCCTGCCTGCTCAGTGCCTCAGTTGCACCTTCTATCAGTCGAGGGTCACAGTAGATGATCTCCTGGGGCGGCTGTGTCCTGTGACTAGGGGCTGGTGGGGTTGTCTGGGGACAACGCTGCAGTGTGTGCAGCCTTCTATCTAACTCAGGGTGGGGCAGGCCCGGCCAGATGTGCACCTCCCCCCTGGCCCTCAGCTGCTTAGAGGCTGGGTCCTGTCCTCCCGCCTCTCTCTGGGGGGATGCTGGGCTGAAGTAGGAAGACAGGGAAGGAGGGAGGCACTGGAGAGCCAAGACTGACAAGCACACTGCCCCTCTACTCCATCTGTACTAATTCCTGCTCCAAGGAATTAGTTCCTGACCAAGAAGTCTAGCTGTTAAGTGTCTCAGCGTGTGGGCCCTGTACTGCTGTCCTGGGAAGGGATACTTCAGAAACTTGTGGGTGGTCAGGGGCAAGCTCCTGTCTGGCCTCATTCCTTGGAGGACCACATCTACTCTCTCAGATCCAGCTTGTCCCAGTCAAAGGCCCCTCCTATCCACAGCCCACCCAACTCTGGGTTCTCACTGGACCCTCCACCCAGACCCTACTTTGTATGTCTTGAGAGCCAGACCAGAGCATAGCAGTGAAGCCTGAGTAAATGAGAGCAAGGTCTACGATGACATTGACCGTGGATTGGGAGGTGAGGGTGAAGTGTGTGCTGGCATGTCCTCCCACTCTTGCGGGGGAAGGTGCATACTCAGGCCCAGTGCTACTTGCCCTGTGGTGGGTGGATTAGATGCTCCTTGAAATAAGGGTTCTATGCTCTACTTGGCAAACTGTGTTCAGTGAAGTCAAAGAGATTCCTTTACCTGCAGAACTTATCAGAAACTTGAACTAACAAATTCAGGTTTCCCTCACTATAGAGCAGAGCATTTCTTTGAATCACTTCCTAAACTGAAATGACAAAAAGCAAAGATGTGACTACCATTCATTTATATGGATTAAAAAAAAAAAAAAATTTTTTTTTTTTAAAGCATTTCCAGACCTAAAAAATAGCTTACCAAATCATAACAAATAACATGAAACCTAAATAACACTTAACATATAATAACAGGCAGTTTAGCGCTATGGCGATTTGGTGCTGAATATAGTTCTGGGAAGGAGCTTGGCAACACCACTTTCTGCTTGGGGTGCACACGCTGCTTCTTTAACAACTCGCTGCAAAACACCCTGAACACTAGTTTCCTTTTGGCATTTTTTCCCCCCCCTAAGTGTGGAAATCCTATCAAGATTTCTCTGTTAGTGAAAAGGTACTTACTAGTGTAGATCTTTCATAAAAGCAAAGGTGTAAATTTTCAAACAGCAGAGGATACGTGTATATATTAGGAACCTCTGAACTGTGAACCACAAGGTCAGCAGTTTGAGCATACCAGCCACTCTGAGGGAGAAATGACTTTTTGCTCCTGCAGAGATTTATAGTCTTGGAAACCCTAGCCAGGGCTGCTATGAGTAGGAACTGGCTTGAGGGCACTTAACAACAACCACCACCACAACAAATGAGGATCTAGGGGCAGTTTCCTAGACTTTTTGATCTATGCCTTAAAGTCCTATAGAAGACTATTCCAACCTCCTCTCTCTCGTGTCTGATGTTGTTGTTGTTGTTAAGTGCCGTTGAGTCAGTTTTGACCCATAGCGACCCTATCGCGTACAGGGTTTCCGAGGGTGTAAATCCTTACGGGAATAGAAAGCCTCATCTTTCTCCCGCGGAGCGGCTGGCAGTTTCGAACCGCTGACCTTAAGGTTCGCAGCCCGATTCGTAACCACTACGCTAGGTAGCGGGAATGTAACAAACATCTCTCCTACCCCACATGGAAAGGCCTACCTGCCTCCGTCTTGTCTTCCCACACCCTAAAAAAAAACAAAAACAGTTGTTAATCTACTTAATTCTATGGTTGGTTGGATAGTTATATGCTGTGGAGTTGATTTCGACTCACAGTGACCCTGCACAGGGTTTCCAAGGCTGTAAATCTTTAGGGGAGCAGAAAGCCTCATCTTTCTCTCCCACAGGACACCTGGTAGTTTCGTACTGCTGACCTTAATAACAGCCCTACTCGTAACCACTATGCTACCAGAGTTTTGATAGAATTAAAATTAATACCAACTGCTGGTTCCACAGGAGAAAGATGAGGCTTTATGCTCCCATAAAGATCTATAGCCTTCGAAACCCTACACAGGGTTGCTGTGAGTCAGAACTGACTCCATGGCACATAGCCACCATAGCGCCTCTATAGGACAGAGTAGAGCTTCTTCCCCATATGGTTTCCAAGGCTATATAACCTTTACAAAATAAACTGCCACATCTTTTCCCCACAGATTGTCCATGGGTTCAAACTGTTAACCTTTCCATTGGCAGCCAAGCGCCTAACCACTGTGCCACTAGGGTTCCTTTCCCACGCCCTAGTACAGATTTGGGCTGGACCTCCATCATGTTATTTGTTGGCTGTGTGTGTGTCCATGGACTTGACACCTCTCCTAAATCTCCTTTCCTTATCTGTAAAAGAGAGCATTGCTGTTGTTGGCTTCAAGTCTACTCCAACTCATAGCAGCCCTTTATGACAGAGTACAACTAGTTTCTTGGGGTTTCATAGGCTGTTATCTTTACAGGAGATCACCACCCCTGTTCTCTATTGAATTGGCAGCCAAGTGCTTAACCATTGTGCCTCTAGATTCTTGTGAGTCTTAAATGAGACAGCACAATATAAATTACTAACGGGATGCCCGTCACTTAATAAATGCCAAGTCAGGCGTGTGGTTGTTAGAATGACAGTACCATTGAGGAAGAGGATGGTGGTGTTTATAGTGATGATGGAGAAGGAGTTTTGTTTACCACTGCCCTGACCCTGTATCCTCTTGTCCCAACAGAGTGAAGACACTTCCACGTTGACAACTGACCATGTGCCTACCCTGAGCAAAACCCACCCAGCATCTCTGTTGAGGACAGCAGGTCCAAGCACTCCTCTGTGGGCCCCCAGCAGTTGGCAGGCTCCCCCAGTGGCGGGGTCTGGGGCTCAGCCCCACCATGTCAAGCCTCGGCAGCAGCAGTCCCCAGGACGCCGGCGGCAACAACAGTGTTACCACCAATGGCGGTGGCAGCGGCTCAAAGGCAGGAGTGGCAGACAAGAGTGTGGCTGTGGTCACTGCTGCCCCAGCCTCAGTGGCAGATGATGCACCACCCCCTGAACGCCGGAACAAGAGCGGCATCATCAGCGAACCCCTCAACAAGAGCCTGCGCCGCTCCCGCCCGCTCTCCCATTACTCCTCCTTTGGTGGCAGTGGTGGTAGTGGTGGTGGCGGCAGCATGATGAGTGGCGAGTCCACTGACAAGGCTGCTGCAGCCGCTGCCTCCCTGTTGGCCAATGGGCATGACCTGGCGGCAGCCATGGCAGTGGACAAAAGCAACCCTACCTCAAAGCACAAAAGTGGTGCTGTGGCCAGTCTGTTGAGCAAGGCGGAGCGGGCCACGGAGCTGGCAGCCGAGGGACAGCTGACGCTGCAGCAGTTTGCGCAGTCCACGGAGATGCTGAAACGTGTGGTTCAGGAGCACCTACCGCTGATGAGCGAGGCTGGCGCAGGTCTGCCTGACATGGAGGCTGTGGCGGGTGCTGAAGCTCTCAATGGCCAGTCCGACTTCCCCTACCTGGGCGCCTTCCCCATCAATCCAGGCCTCTTCATCATGACCCCAGCAGGCGTGTTCCTGGCTGAAAGTGCGTTGCACATGGCTGGCCTGGCTGAGTACCCCATGCAGGGAGAGCTGGCCTCCGCCATTAGCTCGGGCAAGAAGAAGCGGAAACGCTGTGGCATGTGTGCGCCCTGCCGGCGGCGCATTAACTGCGAGCAGTGCAGCAGTTGTAGGAACCGAAAGACTGGCCATCAGATTTGCAAATTCAGAAAATGTGAGGAACTCAAAAAGAAGCCTTCCGCTGCTCTGGAGGTAACAGCGCCTTAGAGGGAGGTGTGTGGGCTCTTGCATCTGTGTGGTCATCTGAACCGACCCCATCCCCAACCCCATCTTTCCTACCTGGGCAAGTGTCAGGGGGTTGCCCAACCAGTCCCTGGAGTCTGGGGGTCTAGGCCAAGCTCCAAGACACCAGTTCACTGCCTCCAAAGTCAGAACTACATCCTGCGATCCAGTCAGGCTGTAGTTTGTGATACAGACATAAACTTCCAGGCAACAGAGATAGCATTCCCAGCTAGGCCCTGGAATTCTGACTCCCTGGAATTCTGGGTCAGGTATTGCGATATCCTAAGATCCTAAGTTTATGGGTCTCAGATGGATGAGTCCTAACACTTCCAGTCTATGACCTAAGATTCTGGGACTTTGTCCTGCCCCATTTGAGGGTTCTGCCAGTGGAGCCTTTGACTTGTGGGACAACGTTCACTTGGCCCTCCAGAGCCAGTCCTTACTGCTCAGGTCCCCCTGCATAGAGCTGCCCCAGTACTGGCTGCAATGCTCTGAGACCCGGAAGAACCCTGGATCTAGGCACTGAGTTAAAATATTTGGTGTACCTTGGGTGTGTCCCAGGGTCCAGTTTGTGCACAACTGATAGCCAGGGGTCTGGTGGTCCTGAGGCAGGCAGGTGGCCATGGGCCTGGGGCCTGGCCAAGGCCTGTCCACTGTGGGGATTGGCTTAGAGAAGCCAGAGGGGTTACCAGGCTGCTTTCTCTCCACCCTTGTGGCAGAGCCTGCCCCTATACCCCCACCCATGGCAGCCTAGCTGGGGTGCCAGGGCTGAATACAAAAGCTTCTTTTCAGTCTGCTCTCCCAGCCCCTATCTCCGCCTCTCTATGAGTGGGCTTGACACAAATGTCTAGAATGGTTGGAAAACAATAATGGTATCCCAGCCATGGCCGCCTGATTACCCTCCCATGACCCTCCTCATATATCCAGAGAACACACCTATATGCGCACAAAGGCACCCACTGTTATCCAGTGTAGAGAGGGAGACACATACATACCCCTATCCCATATACATCCTCTAATTATAGATGCAGCATTTTGGTAAACACGCCAGGTATTCTCCTACACACATGCAAACACACAGCTCAGTACACCCTAAAGCATAGCACCAGTCTACAACCATATATGCATCCAATCCACATGTTAGCACGCTTATTGGACAGAAATGTCCACACAGCCCCCAGATGCACCACAAGGACCTGGTGCTTCTTCCGACCTGGGCACAGTGACTGGGGAGACCTCAGGGTGCTCCTGACCCTCCAGCGGCCCTTCGGGTCAAGACTCCTTCTCTAGCCTGGCTGGGATGGGCAGGAACACTGCAGGGCACCTGCTCTCTGTGCCTATCCCTCTGCCTTGAGGCCATCCACGGGGACATCTTGGCACCTGGACCCTGACTGAACTTTCTCCTTGTTTTTGTCTCCCGCCCTCGCCAGAAGGTGATGCTTCCGACGGGAGCTGCCTTCCGGTGGTTTCAGTGATGGCGGCAGGACCCCAAAGCTGCCCTCTCCGTGCAATGTCACTGCTCGCGTGGTCTCCGGCAAGGGATTCGGGCGAAGACAAACGGATGCACCCGTCTTTAGAACCAAAAATATTCTCTCACAGATTTCATTCCTGTTTTTATATATATATTTTTTGTTGTCGTTTTAACATCTCCACGTCCCTAGTATAAAAAAAAAAAAAGGAAAAAAAAATTAACTGCTTTTTCAGAAGAACAGCAGAAAAAAAAAAAAGAAAAGAAAAGAAAAAAAGAGGTAAAGACAAGTATATAAAGTACCAAGACTTCCTGGGCAAAGAATGGACAATCAGTTTCCTTCCTGTGTCGATGTCGATGTTGTCTGTGCAGGAGATGCAGTTTTTGTGTAGAGAATGTAAATTTTCTGTAACCTTTTGGAATCTAGTTACTAATAAGCACTACTGTAATTTAGCACAGTTTAACTCCACCCTCATTTAAACTTCCTTTGATTCTTTCCGACCATGAAATAGTGCATAGTTTGCCTGGAGAATCCACTCATGTTTATAAAGAGAATGTTGATGGCGCTGAGTAGAAGCTCCTCTGTACCCATCTACACCAACCGGCGGAAGCAACCACCCCTGGGCCATGGCAGTTCTTGCTGAACCCAGTCCACAGAATGGGGTTTCCCACCCTAACAGTGAGGATGTTGAGAAAATGGGAAGTTATGTTCATTTATCCATTGAGATCTAGGGATCCCATGTCTCGAGATTTCCAATCCTGGCTACTTCCCTTAGAGAAAAAAAGTCCTTTTTTTTTCTGGCCTTGCTGATGGAGACAGAAGAAAGGACATCTTTGCGTGACCCCCCTGCCGGTGGGGGTGGGTGCCCAGGGGTCCCCTTCTTGTGGCCTGGGCGCCCCCGCCCATGGCCAGCTTCCTGCTGATGAACATGCTGTTTGTATTGTTTTAGGAAACCAGGCTGTTTTGTGAATAAAACGAATGCATGTTTGTGTCACGAAGCACCTCTGGCTTCTTGCGCTCCAGTTTCGGGGGCTGGCTGAGGGGGGCTGCCCAGGTGCGGTTTTGGACCACCTTGGGAAGGGAGGAAGATGGTCCAGGAACCATTGGAGTGGGAATCTCTTGGAAAGAGAGGCCCTCTGGATCCTGAGGTGAGGAACGGAAGAAACCAGCTTGGCAAACTGGATGGAAAATGCTCTTAATCTAGAAGTGGCCAGTGCTGGGGACCTCACCTTCCTGAAAGCCTGGCTTTCACTCACCTGAACCTGCATCTTTAGTCACCTAAATTCATCATGACCTAATAAGTATAAGGCCTGAGCGCTGCCGTACAGGCTCTTATTTCTCTTCTTTCAAGGAAAGGATCTAGTGTTCCCCCTAACCACTGATGTGACTCCCCAGGGAACAGTTTCAGACCAGGTTTATGGGGATTTGCATGGTTCCAAAACACAGATACCTCCCTGATGTGCCCCTCTTCTGGCTTGAGAACTGTTGGGCTGGGGGCTGGGGTGGTTCCTCAGTTTGTCCATACCCCCAGGATGTTTGTTAGCACAAGGTTGACCAGGGAGGCCAAATGTCAGGGGAAGTCACCACACAGTCACATACATGGTCTAGGCCAGGGCAGCCTGAACAGGAAGAGTGGCTGTTGCATTCTCCCTCCGTACCATATCAAGAGGGGAGTCCCTATCCACATCTGTTGGACTCAAGGAGCCTTCTCACCCAGCTATTTTTGAGCCTGACTGAGATGGAGGCTAGACTTGAATAAGAACTTCCTGATAATGCTGGAGGCTGGCTTCAAGTAGGTAAGTTGGGGTGAGGTGGGAGAGATGGAATGTCTCTGTCATTGTTCCTAGGAGGTAAAAGTAACAACATGGGGCCCTGCGCTCTGACCCCCAGCCCTTTCCTAGGTGTCACAAACCCCCTTCAAGCACCAGGGGCTCAGCAGTGAGGCCTGGCCCAGCAGGGGCAGGCAGGGGGTGTGGGAGGCAGCTTTCAACTCCATCTCTGCCTGGGAAAAATTCCCTTTCATGTGGCTGTCTGTGATCTCTTCAGGCGGCTCTACCAAGGGGGGCTGTCCAGCAGGGGGTAGAGGAGGTGTTGCAGCCAGGGGCACCCTCACCCCCAGTACTAGTCAAACTGCGGCACCTCCAGAACATCATGGGGGAGTGCCGGGTAGGGGATGGGGGCACAGGCAGAGCCTGACCAGTAGGGGGCGCCCAGGCAGAAGGCCCCTGCCTGCCCACCAGACTGTTGGCAGCACTTGAGCTGCAGATGGCCTCAGACGGCCCTCATTGGCACACCTACAGGTGTGGGGTGGACGACTCTGGTGCCAGTCCGGGCGGGGGGAAGGGGGGTGTTGCCATGACTCAGCCGATCTGTACCTGTTACTGTGCCAACCCAAAGACCAGCCAGCACCCTCAACGTGGAGATGCCCAAATCTCATAGCTTTTATCTCCAGCTGCAGCCTGCCCTTCCAGACTCTGAAGCAGGGTGGTGGCTCAGCCCCTCTGTGTCTGGAGGAGGTCCAGGCAAGAGTGGGAATAGCTGTGAACCTGGATACATGACAAGGCCTCAGTTGCCTTGTCTGGGAAAGGGGCAATAATAGTTTACCCCATAAAGTTGCCTGAAGATGAAATGAGAGTACCCTGGGGAAGGGCCTGGCTCAGAGGAAGCACTCAGTCAATGACAGCTGGTGTTGCTATTTAAAAACCATTATTCACCTAAGTGGGAGTGTGGTGGCTTTGTATGATGAGCACTGGACTGCAAACTACGAAGTTGGTGGTTCAAGCCCACCAACCACTCTGTAGGAGAAAGATGAGGCTTTCTGCTCCAGCCTGGGAAACCCAATATAGGGTAGCTATGGGTTGAAACTGATTAGACAGCACTTAACAAGCAAAATTTACCTTTATCTTACCAGATGTCAGCCACCTTCTATCGGGTGTGTTCCAGGTGCCCCTTTCTCCCATCTCTCCATAGAACTGTCCACCCAGTGCCCCTCCTTTTCCCGCCCTCCCCTGGCCCCAGCCTGTCTGCTGTCTGTCTCTGGTTTACTGTCCAGAGCTGTGTCTGCTCTGTTTCTCTGTCTAGCTTGCTGTTTCTGCACCTCTGACTTGATGGTCTCTGTTGGTTTCTCTCGTCTGTGTCTGTGTTTCTTCATCTTTTTGCATCTCTGGGTCTCTATTTCTTGTCTCTACATCTCTATCTCTATCTCTTATCTTGCTCCTTTTCTGTCATTGGTTCACCCTGCTGCTCTCTGGTCTTACAGAAAAGTACTTAGTAGCAGGTTCCCCTGTGGAGTTGTATGTCCAACTCCTGTCCTTCCTGGGGTGTCCTCAGCTCCCCTATGCTGTATTTGGGAGCCTGACTCCTGTTGACCCAAGAGCCTTCACCCCAGGCAGTCCGAGCCCCTACTTAGGAGATCTGGCAGTGGGGGCCAGCTCTCAAAGAGGCAGGCAAAAGGGGTTGTTCACTAGGCTGGAGACATTCTGTACTGCCCCCAGACAGTCCCCACACTTGCACATGGATTTGAACGTGTGTGCATGTGTGATCGTGCCAAGAGAAAGCGTGGGGGTGGGGAGGCAGATGACCAGCTGAGGCCCTGTGTAGAATGTGTTTATGTGTGGCATGAAAATGTGTCTGTGACAAGTGTGTGGGAGACTGTCAGCCACCATGCTGGAAGTTCTGTGACATTGCCTATATGATCCTGTCACATTGTACAGTCCTGTCACAGACACACTGGGACCCTGCATTGTGCAGTGGAATGTGTGACATTGGATGATTCTATGGGAGTGTAGGACCCTGTATGATCATGGTTGTAACCTTGGGATAACATCAGGTGATGCTGGTTGTTGACCAGATATGACTCTGACGCTACCTGTGTTAACCTGGTGTGTCATGACAATGTTTGTCAACATGCACCTGCAGCCCTCTATGGTGTGTGCCATGTACCTTTGCCTACAGCACTTCCTGGGTCTAGGCCTTGACAGCCGTGCAACTCTGCAGAGACCTGGTAGCCCCTCTTATCCCCAGCCTGCCCCCTCGCCTGGCTCTGAGGCCCAGTCTGGATGGTAGAGCTGGCAATGAAGGCAGCAGGCGTATTTCCCACGACCAACGCAGCCCCTCTCTCAGCCCCACTGCCGCCGGCTTTAGCTCCACAGAATATCCTGGCAACCCCAGTGTCTTTGTTCTCTGCGGCCGCCAAAGGCCTCTCCCCACCCAGCTTGCCCAGTGCCTGCCAGGCGCACCCTCTTCCCCTCCACCCCCAGCAGCTAGACTTGGCCTGACCTTGCTTTGCCATTGCTATCCCCCCCCCCCTCCACACACACACACACTGGGGCC